GATTTTTACCCATTTTCCGATTTTGGAGCTCGGTTTGGGCGATTTTGGAGAGGAAGTTTTTCACACAACTTGGGGTAAGTGATCTTAACTCCCTTGTGGTTATATTTCATGAATTAAGTCTTCATTTTTCGTGTAAGATTATTGAATCTTCAAGAGAAATAGAAGGAAATTTTATAATGTCACAAAACAAATTTTTCGAGTTTGAATACCGATTTGGAGTCAGATTTGAGTGAAATTAGTATGGTTGAACTTGTAATTGGATGGGTTGTCGTATTTTGTGAGTTTCATCAGATTTCGAGACGTGGAAAATATTAGTATTTTGATATGGAAATAATTTCTATAAATTATGTGGGCTGATCAAATTAATTGTGACTAGATTCGAGCCGTTCAGAAGTTGATACGCACATAATGGGATTTCTGGAGCATTGTTTAGGTTGCTCGACATTGGATTTGACTTGTTCGAGGTAAGTAACTCTTCTAATCTTGGAGCTGAGGGTATGAACCCTGAATATATGTATTATGCGGATTGTTGGAAGTTGACGCACATTCTAGGTGACGGGCGTGCACTATATAAATTGTGACATAATTGTTTTTGTGAAATTTTGTAGTTAAATAATCTTGGCATTCTCCATGAGGTTTTATGTGTTAAAGAAATTGAGCTGAAAAGTATATTAAAAAGTATGTTGAGGCTATGTGCTAGTATTTTGGGACCCACAGATGTCATATTGTTGTGAAGTATTTGTTCTTAATTGAAAATTTATGCTCAGTCATATTAATTTCATTACATATCATATCTCAGTCTTTGTTGTTATTCATTGATACATCATATCATCATTTTTGGGCTATTCTCATGACATTGTGAGCCAATGAGAGAGAGACTGGAGAGATTGATGACTGAGGGAGGCCAAGGGCCTGATTGTGTGGATATTTTTGGGATCGGGTTGCACGCCGCAGCATGCCATGTTGGCTTTATATATATTATTACTATTATATGGATCGGGGTTGCCCGCCTGCAGCAGGCCTTATTGGCATATTATGGCACGTGAGTTGTCCGTGCGAATTCTGATATGATATTATAGAACGTGAGTTGTCCGTGCAGCACGTGATTTGTCCATGCAGATTATAACGCTTGGGCTGTAGGAACCCCTCCGGAGTCTGTACACACCCCTAGTGAGCACAGGTACCTACTGAGTGCGAGTGCCGAGTGCTGAGTGACTGGGAGGCATGAGTGATTTTGAGGTATGCCCAAGGGGATGTTTATGAGTGATTGTGAAGTATGCCCGAGGGGATGTTTATGATTGATTGTGATGTAAGCCCGAGGGGCTATATACGAGTTATTGTGAGGTCTGCCCGAGGGGCTGTTTATGATTTTATCATTGAGTTGCATCGCATTGGCATGCACACATGACATACATGCATAGAGATGTATTTTCCTCATGCTGTACTGCATCACATCATTCATGATTTTCACACATTTTTGACAGATGGGTATAGTGATGCATTTGTTTTTACACGGGTTATCTAGAGGAAAAATGAAACATCTCATTTATTATTGAAGGGATTTTTGGGAAAAATTATTGTTTTCAAACTTATTCATATATTTGGCAACTTCGGTAAATGATTTGGGTCTTCACTGATGTAGTTGAAAGGAAGAACTATTATTCTTTTGAAATCATGATTCCGCCGAGCATTTTATCTCTGAGTTACTTCTGGCATTATTTGCTTTATGTTGTTATGGACTGTTGTGGACTATTGGTTTTGGACCCGACCTTGGTGGAGGCTCTTCACTATTTTCAACCAGGGGCGGATTTGTAGGAAAATATATGGGGCATGTGAACCCATGGTCTCTCCTCCAAACTATGTATTTTTGTACATATTTTTTAGAATTGTTATAATATTATCTACTGTCACTCATGCTCGAAAGAGGCTAAATGGTGCACTTGGTTGGATTTTGTGTTATTTACCTAGAGAAGTGGAGATTAAATCCCACTTATTACTTTTTTTCTCCTTTCTTTAGTGGTGCAACCATATTATAAAAATCCTAAATCCGCATCTGCTTTCAACCTAAGGCTAGGTTTGTTACTTACTCAGTACATGGGGTCGGTTGTACTGATACTACACTTCTGCACATTGCGTGCAGATATTGACTGTTGTTATTGTTGTGCTTGATGGTTGAGGGATTTGAAGATGTACATGTGTTCCTGTTGTAGCTGCATCTTGTTCATGGTAGCCTTAGATTTATAAAAGCTCTGTTTATGTACTATTCAAACAGACTATGTATTTATTTCATTTCCGCTTTGTAAACTCTATTCTTAGAAGCTCATGATTTGTACTACCAATTCTTGGGGATTGTATAAGATTAAGACCTTTATTGTGATGACTTAAAATGTCATCTTTAAAGTTAATAATTAATTCTATATTCTAAGACCTCGAAAAGAACTATTTATCATTACTCTACTTGCGTGCGCATTCCGTAAAATTTTTCGGAAAGTTTTTATGTGAAAAATGGATTAAAATGTGAATTAGCGCTTTAAAACTCAACTAAGTTGACTTTGGTCAACATTTTGAGCATAAGGACTCGGGTCAGTGTTTTGACAGTTTCGGTAGGTCCGTATCATGATTTAAAACTTGGGCGTATGCCCGTAATCAAATTCTGAGTTCCTTAGCCCGAGATATGGAATTTTGATGAAAAATTAAAAGTTTAAGTTCAAATAGTGACCGGATGTTGCATTATGAGCAAACGACCCCGGAATAGAATTTTGATAATTCCAACAGCTCCGTATGGTGATTTTGGACTTAGGATCGTGATCAGAATTTTATTTGGAAGTCCATAGTGAAATTAGGCTTGAAATGGTTAAAATGGGAATTTAAAGTTTGAAAGTTTGACTAGGGAGTTGATTTTTTGATATCGGGGTCGGAATCCATTTTCGAAAATTTTTATAGCTCCGTTATATCATTTATGACTTGTGTGCAAAATTCGAGGTCAATCGGACTTGATTTGATAGGTTTCGACATCGAATGTAAAAGTTGGAAATTCTAAGTTTCATTAAGCTTGAATTGGAGCATGATTCGTGAGTTTAGCGTTGTTTGATGTTATTTGAGGATTCAAATAAGTTCGTATGATATTTTAGGACTTGTTGGTGTATTGGGTTGAGGTCCCGAGGGCCTCGGATGAATTTTGGATAGTTAACGGATCAAAAATGGGACTTAAACAACTCCTACAACAGCTGTTGCAAATTTTCTTCTGCTGAGCAATCGAGCCCAGAAGTCGAGCCCAAAAATCGAAGGCCAGAAGTCGAGCCCAAAAATCAAGCCCAGAAATTGAGCCGAGGATCGAAGGCAAGGCTCGAGATCCATAATCGAAGGCAGGCTCGAGAGCCATGATCGAAGGCAAGGCTCGAGGGTCATGATCGAAGGCAAGCTCGAAGGCCACCGATCGAAGGCTCAAGATCGAGGCTATGATCGAAGGCCCAGGCTTGGTGCCAGGATCGAGGCCATGATCGAAGGGCCATGCTCGATGCCATGATTGAAGGCCCAGGCTCGAGCCTGTGATCGAAGCCACGATCGAGGCCCGGTTCTGAAGGCTGCCGGGCAGATTTATAAAAGAGGACATTCGTCCCATTCGCCATTTTTAACAAACTGGAGCTTGATCAGAGGCGATTTTTGATAGATTTTCAAGGAAATACATTAGGGTAAGTGATTCTAACTCAGATTTGGTGAATATAAACGAATATATAATTATTTTCACCATTTAATTAGTGTATTGAGATGGAAATTTGGAAAAATTTAGAAATCTCATAAAAACGAATTTTTGAGATTTCTGTGTCGATTCAGAGTCGGATTTGAGTGAAACTGGTATGGTTGGACTCGTAATTGAATGGGTTGTTGGATTTTATAAGTTTTGCCGGATTCCGAGACATGAGCCCCACGAGCGATTTTTGAACTAATTTCAGATTTTATTGAAAAATGTAATATTTTCTTATGAAATTGATTCCTATAATTTTATTTGATTGTATCGAATTAATTATGACTAGATACGAGTCGATCGGATTCGGAAAATTGAGAAAAGACATACTACTTGGTTAAATTGGAGCAAGTCGAGGTAAGTGACTTATCTAACTTTGTGTGGGAAAAATTTTCCCTAGGATTGGTATTGAAGTGATAAATTATAATGTGTTGAAAGTCGTGTACATGAGGTGACGAGTGTGTACACGGGCTAAATATGAAAGATTATATTTTAAAATTGTGCAGATCACTGTTGCGCATTAATTAAACTATTTTATTCTGATATATTCTTCATCATTGATTTAATGTTTTAAAGTTGCTTGACCTTTTCTTGCTAATTGTTTTACCTGTTTAGTTGAAACTTGGTTTCTTTTATTCTGTGTATTATTTGAAATTGATTTTCTTTAAATTAAATATTATTAATATGAAGTATTTGACATTTTTAAATTTGGCATTGAAGCAACGTATTAAAGATTTTGAAATATTATTTTGCTGAATTATTTATTCCTGAATATTTTTGTAAGATTTTCGTACTCATTGTAATGGAGCCGTGAGCTCTTTATTGTGGAAAAATATTATTGATGATTTATGATGGCATAAGCCGTGAGCTCTTTATTGTGGAAAAATATTGTTATTGAAGTATTTTGTCAAGTTAAATTATTTGAACACTTGAGGTGAAAATTGTGATATATTGTGATGTTGATACGCATGCGGTGGTATAAGGTCTGGGTATTGAAACGCATGCGGTGATATAAGGGTGGCATGATACGCGTGGCTAGTAGGCGGAACTACTAGAAGTCATGCGTTGTGATAAGGATCGCTAAAACGCGGGATGCTATTTCGGGAAAAATATTTTCTTTAAAATAAATTGTGAAGGCTCCCGCGGTGAGATAAAAAAATGAGATATTGTTAATTTATTTATGATTTGGGATTACCTCGTAAGTGCCCTTGTTGATTATTTTTACAAGCCACATACCTATGCTGCCTTTGAACAATCTACTGTAGTAAAGTTTTACTGTACTACTTAACATGATAGGAGTAGTTACTTAAATATTTTTTATGTATTGGCTGGTCTATATAAGTGATAAAGTTTACCCTATGCTCAAATTGGCCAAACTCTTTTATCTCCGAGGCTTTCATATCACCTTCCTCAACACTGAGTTCAACCACCGGCGATTGCTCAAATCCCGGGGTCCCAGTGCCCTCTCTGGCCTACCTTCCTTTCATTTCGAGTCCATCCCTGATGGACTCCCTCCCTCTAACGAGGACGCCACACAAGATGTTCCATCTTTGTTTGAGTCGTGTAAGAAGTTGTGTTTGGCCCCTTTCAGAAAACTTGTCACGAGACTAAATAATTCCTTGAATTTTCCTCCTGTTAGTTGCATAGTTTCTGATGCTGGCATGAGCTTCACTCATGAAGTTTCTAAGGAATTAGGTATTCCTAATGTTGCCTTTTGGACTGCTAGTGGTTGTGCCTTGTGGGCTTTCTTACAATATCCTAAACTTGTGGAAGAAGGTTATTTGTCCACTAAAAGGTATGAAAGCAAAATTAGAATGCTTTAAATAGTTTCATTTTTTTTATGGATAGTTACATGTAGTTTTCTTTTAGATATCTTATAGTAGGGGTGTACAAAAAAAACCGATAAACCGTATCAAACCGATAATCTGAGTCAAACCCGAAAAATATCGAAAGACCCGAGAAAAATATTTAAAAATCCGACTTTATTGGCTTGGTTAGTTTATAGATTTAAAAATCCGACACCATTAGTTTGGATTGGTAATTAAAAAATTCGAACCAACCGACCTATGTACACCCTTATATGATAGGATAAAATATTTTTCTACTGAGCAGTGCATAAAATCTAAATACTCTGAAATATTAGTACTTCATATCATCCCTTGTACAACTTCTGTTTTTTTCTTTTTCCTTTTTAATTCCTTCAACAATTTGGAGAACCCATATATGGATATTTTCCTTATGTTTACGAGGGCTAGTTTCATATTTTCAATGTTTTGTGGAAATACGAACTTAATTGGAGTACAATTCAATGACAATTAGTCACACCATTTGAACTTTTTGTACTAACTATTACGTTAGTNTACTATTACGTTAGTCTAATAGTCTTTTCCAGTTCTTTTTGAAATGAAATTTTATTCTCTAGCTATCCGGCTATAAATACCTTGAAGATAATTGTAGTTTTTGTTTTTCCAGTTTTTTTCAATATGGAAATTAGTTACAGTTTCTTTTTATTGGTTTAATTTCAGATCATAGTTATTTGACCAGCGACCATTTAGACACCACTTGAGTTAAAAATCTGCCAAGCTTCATTAGAGCCACAGTCGACGAACCTAGCTATATGGTAATCAAAT